TAATAATTTTTTTTTCTGGCCAACGTGTTAAATAAAATAACGTTTATATCCAATCATTTATAATATTCAATCATGTAATATTATGACTATATATCTAACACTGAATCTTTTTAAAATCTAAACTCAAATTATTTTACCATGAAACAAAAAATAGGATTATCTTATTTTCATGATTTTTTTAACGTTTTATTGCTTAAAAAATTTCAACACATTAATGAGAATAAATAAACATTTTAAAGTTACTGTATGACTGACTATACTTGAATATTAAAAGTAGTTCAAGCGTTAAATTCGTTTATGTTTGAATATTGATGTTAGTCTTATAAGGATTACTTATCGCCGTCGTTGAACAGCTGACCCCATTTTGAGTTTCGTAAGATATACTGTAGCTATTAAGCTACATCCGGGAATGGTTTTTCATTTTTTTAAAGTTATGGCGCAAAAATGCAGTTACTCAAATGGTCATTGAAAACTCTAAGAATAATTATGTTTGTTAATTGTATTGTTGGAAAAAGTAATACAGGATTTTTTCCTTACATGTTAATATCTTATTAGTGTGAAACTAATTAATTTGTGAAGTGTATGTGAGTAAATAATTTGAGTACCTTAGAAACTTCACAAAAAAAACAGTCAGGAATACCTAATAAGAATTTCAGTTTATTTATATGTGTGGATTACTTATTCCATAACTACGAATTACGAGTGTTCAAATCTCTAGCCTTGTAATTTCTAACCCAATCCAGAAGGCCAGGGAACTCCTAGATCAAGTATTGGGAGAAATTTTGAAAGAAATGTTTGAGAGACTTTTTGATGGAACTATAACCAGCATTTTCTTTACACAGACAGAAAAACCACGAAAACTGTCCGTGGTTAGCCAAACTGCAAGAGGACTCTAACTCATGATCCGTCTACCATTGAGGATAGTTTACGTCAGCACTGTGGTCAGTGCTAGCCGGGTGTAGAATTCTTATCTACCATCCATCTCCGGGATTCGAACCAGGATCACCTCATTGGGAAGTGAGCGCTCTGGTCCCTGAGATACCATGGTTCCTATAATAACCATTAAAATAATTTGAGTAATACCTTACCCACCCGTTCACTAATTGTCACAACAAATCAAAATGAGTAGCACGCAAATACTGCCACGAGCAGTGAAAATGATGCTGCTGACATTCTAACTCGTGATCAACATTACTACGAATAATGAAGAAGGAAAAGGAAGGGGAAAAAAAACATTTTAATTGATCCAAGACCCCTGACTCCGGTTACTGTCTGCTTTGCTGTGACGCACTGAGTGATTCACTGGTAAAAAGAAGCAAGTTCCGGTTTACCGTTGGATATGACAATCAAAAGCGTTTTGTCCAATAATAAACTATCTGTAGCTGCATCACTGCAAGTGTGTTTACCTGTTTTCATAAAATTTAAATGAATAACAAAAACAGTTGCATTTTATCAGCTAGTTTAGCGATTTTACTTCAACTGACAAAAAAGTTCGAAAACTGAAGTTATTACAAATTATCATAATATTGTTATAACTTTTGAACTTGATAACTGCAATGAACACAAGCAATCTATAGAAGTAAACAAGCCTTAGATTGCCAGATCCTAAAAGTACGATGGCGAATAAGGAAAATCACCGGACCCTTGTCACATATTTTAAACTTGCTGAATATCCAAATCTGTCACCGATCCTCCCACTTCGGTGACGGCACGTCATCAGTGGCGACTCCCAGTCGACACCGAGTCAGGCACGGTGGCCCGAATCATCTCGATTACTGCCCCCCTCCCTTCTCTCGTTGAAACTCTGTATGAAGTTTAAATTTAATCCTTTTACACTCCGATGTCTCCACTGAGGCACTATCAACAATCACCATTGTAAAATTAAGATATTTTACATCTTATTAATTAATAACAACATTATTTTAAGAATTTAAAAATTGTATAATAATACTATAGTGTGTATTTTAAATGATATACGGCTGATATAACAGCTTCACTCGGAGTGTGAAGGATTAAAAATATTAGATAAACATCGATGCATAACTGATAATTATATATTTTGCCTTTCAGGGATTCATTGTTTCCCTAATCTTCTGTTATATGAACGGTGAAGTAAGTACCTTTATCTGATTGCACATACTTAAACATATATATTTTATTACGTATTAACAGTACACAATATATTTATATTTACAAAACACATATATATTATATTATCACAATATATTTATATTACAAAATATATTTATATTTTGGTACGATTTTGAAATAACTTTCGCAAAATGCGTTTGCATATTGCTTTTTATTTTTTTTAAACAAAAATATGATATTTTTCATTTAAACAAATTCTGAGAAGGCGTTTTTTTTGTTTGTATATAAAAAGAATCTTAAAAATGATGGGCCGTAACTAATAGTGTTAATATGGTTATTCGGCAGATTCTGAGCCTGTTGGGTCGGTCTGTAAGCACCTACAGAGCTAAGCGAGAAATATCTCCTGCATGCAGCAAGCGTCGTTCCACCTGCATGGTCTCCCTTGCATCTCTAAGGGTCCGTCGCCTATCCCATGACCTATAAGAAAAAAGTACGTTTCCCTTCTTTTTTTGTTTCATCTTACCCTCCATGTATGTTTATTTAGTTTAGTTTACTTTGGTTTTTGACTTAGAATGAATAACTAGAATGAGTTTTCAGATAAGGTCGTAAGGAAATTTAAATGGGTCGAATTTTCTGTATTGAGTAGTAACTTTAAACATTTTACAATAGCACAACGTACCCTAGAAGGCCTCCGCATGGAGTAATTGAGTAGTCCGACGCAACGAACCTACAATGCGTAGTAGGTAAAAAATTAAAAAAAGATGTCACTAAGTTTGGATTTTAAACCGCGCAGTGGAGAAGAATACTAAAGATGTCACTACATTTAGACTACTAAAGAATCGGATTTCTCGTTTATAGTAACCCATATATATGCCTTCTCTTTTCTAGGAGATATCGTATGTACAGTGCAAAACTAAGCAATTGGTCATTCTCACAGCTAAATGCAAATAATGATAATAATAATAAAAATAATAATAGACGACTAAAGTTGCATTTCAAGCATGCAATATTATCATATATCGATCAATATTTAATAGCTATCGTGTTAACTATACAGTGGTGGCCAAAAGTGTGGACACTTTTTGAAAGTTTCATGTTTTTCAACTTTGTGTGCTTGTAGAATATATTAATTTTCACTTAAATATAAACGTTTATAGATCAAATTTAAGGTAATTTAATGTAGAATTTAATAATAAATGCAGTATTACAATATCTGTATTACAAAAAAAGTTATGCAATTACTAGTAAGATCTATCTTAGATTTGTATTTTTTTAAAGTGATACTTACACAATCAATACTTAGTAGGATAACCCTTATTTTTTAAGACAGCTTCACAGCGTCTTTTCATCGAGTGAACGAGTGTTTGGAGTTCATCTTTCGTAATCACATGGTGCAAAGAATAAATTATAGCTTCACTTAGTTGTCTTTTATTGGATGGACGTTTTTTTCGTACACTAATTTTCAAACGTCGCCACAAATTTTCAATTGGATTGAGATCAGGGCTGTTTCCTGGCCATGGTAATATATCTATGCCTTTATTTTGAAAGCATGCTTTCCATACTTTTGCTGTGTGGCATGGAGCTGAATCCTGCTGAAAAATAAATGGAGTGTTGTTGGGGAAGAGATCCCTGATGGAAGATATCAATTTTGGTTTCAGGACAGTTTCGATGTATTTTTTGGCTTTCAGGATGCCAAATCAGGCCGAAAAAAAAATGCACAAGTGCTACTACCGATAGAAAAATTAAATGGCTATGCCTTCAAGATAGAAAAATGTCATCAGATGCCATTAGATGTGAAATGAATGCAGCTGGTATTGCAGTAAGTTCAAGAACAATAAGAAGAAGGTTATCAGGATTTGGACTACAAGCTAGAATTCCAAGGAAAAAACCATATTTAAATCAAAAGCAACGCGAAAAACGAGTTAAGTCGGCAAAAGAACACATTAAATGGTCAGAAAATCAATGGAAGCAAGTAATCTGGAGTGATGAGAGTAAAATATCGCTCTTTGGAAGTGATGGTAGAAAATACGTGAGACGTAGAGTAGGTGAAGCGCTTCATCCTGATTGCATTGAAGCAACTACTAAAAATCCAACAAATGTCATGATTTGGGCATGTATATCTGCAGATGGTGTGGGCCGAATTCAAGTGATTGATGGCATCCTGAATGCCAAAAAATACATCGAAACTGCCCTGAAACCAAAATTGATACCTTCCATCAGGGATCTCTTCTCCAACAACGCACCATTTATTTTTCAGCAGGATTCAGCTCCATGCCACACAGCAAAAGTATGCAAAGCATGGTTTCAAAATAAAGGCATAGATATATTACCATGGCCAGGAAACAGCCCTGATCTCAATCCAATTGAAAATTTGTGGCGACGTTTGAAAATTCTTGTACGAAAAAAACGTCCATCCAATAAAAGACAACTAAGTGAAGCTATAATTGATTCTTGGCACCATGTGATTACGAAAGATGAACTCCAAACACTCGTTCACTCGATGAAAAGACGCTGTGAAGCTGTCTTAAAAATTAAGGGTTATCCTACTAAGTATTGATTGTGTAAGTATCACTTTAAAAAAATGCAAATCTAAGATAGATCTGACTATTTGTTGCATAACCTTTTTTGTAATACAGATAGTGTAATACTGTATTTATTATTAAATTTTACATTAAATTACCTTAAATTTGATCTATAAACGTTTGTATTTAAGTGAAAATTAATATATTCTACAAGCACAGAAAGTTGAAAAACATAAAACTTTCAAAAAGTGTCCACACTTTTGGCCACCACTGTATATCTTATTACATTGTTTGTCCTTATTTCGGACTTAGTGCCATTAAATCACACATTCAATCAATAAATTCAGTCTCATTTATGTACATTTAGAAATGTTAAATTGCATCCGAGTGGTTCTCCGTTTGCAATAATTTATGAGCCTATATCGTAAACATATTGTTAATTTAGATTTTTAGGTCATCGCTTAATAAAGCTCGTTCTAGTTATTTATGTCTTTTAGAATTTGTTTAATAATGTTTCAAAATTAAATGAAAAATTACTTCTTTTTATTTATTGTACACCTTTTCTTAGTTTGTGAAACCCACACTACTACATTGCCTAACTTAAAACCCTAAGCCTTTTATTGTGTTTTACACTAAACTAGACTTACATTGCTAGATATAGTATTGTTATGCGAGAAAAACGTTTAGAATATTTTTAATTAGGCACAAGACTTGCATAAAATAAAATGTATTTATTTATGGTAGTGTCATCATTAATTGACGCTACCAAACTTTTAAATGATTATTGATATAGTTTATAGATCCTTTCATCTGAATTGGCCGATTCACAATTCAATGATAAAGAACGTTCATTTGTATATGATTGTTCCTTTTTGTTTTATATGATTCCAAAAGCTCTCAATAATTTACGCTTTAACTGTATACCAAAAATCAAAGCAGAATATCTCAACACCTTCTCAAAACTATACTTGTCATAGCTCCACACTATTTCAGATGGGCTATAAAACGAAAAATATCTGAAAATAAAATCGAACTAATAAGTTCGATTTTATTTTCAGATATTGTTAAAAGCTAATATAGGGAAAACCGAGGTTAGTTTGCGTACTACTTTGGTTTAATTTTTCATCTTTTTAAACATATATCACGCAGTATGATTTTTTTATAAGACAAATCATTCCACCATTTATGCTTTTTTTTTCAAAATGCTTAGTTTGTAATTCTTTTTAATAATATTGTTTTAAAAGAAAAACCATGAATAGAGGATCGGAATTCCCCGGGGGCGATTTTCATATCCAGCGGCGTTTGAAAATTCGTTCTCTTGTTTGGCCTTTTCTTAAATAAAAATTTTTTTTTTTTTGATTTTTGTCCATTTTTCAGTTTAAGTAACAAATTTTGAAAGAAATAAAAGCTTGTATTATAATGTGCATCATCTACAGCCGAGAGAAAAATCGCCAAAAAAAAAGACAACGAAAAAGTCGCCCCCCCCCAATTAGCATCCCATTGAGGGGGCGTAACTTCATCTACTACATGGAGCACGTTGGACCATGAAATACAAAAATGTTATCCATGATAATATTTTATAATTAAAAATCCATTTATAAAGGTTAAAGGATAATAAAATAGGCAAGTCTTCAAATCTAACAAAAACAGATATATTGATTCTTACCGTAAATGATTGTTTATTAAATTTCATTAAGACAGATTTTTGTGATTAAAGTAATTCATTTTGGATAAAAAAAAAACATGGTATGAATCCATTTAAATTATGAGATAAATCAACATTAAGACATTAAAAACATACAGACACAATCTCAAAATTTCCTGCCTTTATAAATTTTGTTTTTAGTCATAATTTCGCAAAAATAATGTCATGTTTGATAATTTTTTTAAAATTAAAACACACAGCAAACTTCTTCCGCAATTTTTGTGAGAACGATATTAAATAGTCTGTTTTTCGTCCAGAACAAAATTTCAAATTTCGTTCTTGTTTAACAAAAAGGTAAAAACGTTTCTGATGAATTTTAGTATTTAATGCGAATACAACTTATTTAGTGAAATTTCTGTTAATAAAAACAAGTTTGTAAACGAGAGGAATTTAATGAACTTCCTTAAGTAATTTTTATGAAATATTTGTTAGCTTTTGATTTTATTATTTTTTTTCCAAAACATGTGCAAATTGTATTATTTAAAAGACATATTTATGAAAGACTTTTCTAATCTGAATATAT